AGAGTTTTAAATGAAGCACCATATATTTTTTTGTTGCATCCAATAGATTGTTAGATGGTCTACGTAAAAACATAAACTTTTAAATGTTTAAAATTCGTAAATGCCTAACATTAAATAAACATTGGTCATACTATGACTACCATTGTAATTCCACCACGAATCATTTCTTGTGCAACTTTGCACTTTTTGGCTATTGAAACCAATTTTTTACAGGGTGCGCCAGAACCATTAAACTCGCTCCCCAGAGAAAAATGTCATCGAAAAATACTGATTTGTTGTCAAGAAATAATTTCAAATTAGGATCATAATTACTTAAAAAAGAAATTAGTTTCCTTTTTTTAATGAAGATTCGCTTTCGTCGTGTCCTCTGAGAGCTAGATTTTGAAAAGCCAAAAACATTATACAATCAATTAATCTTTTAATTACATCCCGATTCTGCTTGACTTCCGCATTGTAAGACTCTATTTGTTCATTTCTCGTATTATCTATTGCTATTTCTACATTCAATTTGCCAAGTCATCGAAATTTACATGTGGATGAAATATGCTCTTTGGATTTTCGATGACTTTCAAGAGAACGGAATAAATTTTTTATGTCATTATATCCTGATTTTCACCAAACTGAATTTTCAGTTTTTTGATTAAAAAGCAAACAGGGCCAACAGTACAGTTTATTGCGTTCAGTGCTCCCTGTTAGCCACTCACAATTATTATACCAGGACACATTAAATGTCCATTTGGACCTACCTGCTACTGTTTTTAAATTTGGAAGAGCAGGACGTGGTGTTCCCAAATCTTTTATAAACAATTTATCTTCATAATTTAAAGCACTGAAAAATGACTAAATCTCTGGTGACACAGTTAATAAACCTAGGTATATGAAGAGTGAGGTGGTACCTAATTATTACTAAAGACAAAAAGTCCTGGAAGACAGTTGTGATACCGAGACTGCAACGACAATTAGTAAGAATTTGTAAAAGCAGCCGAAGAAGTACGTTAAGAAAATTTACTGCTCGGTGGAATAAAAAAACAAAATTTTCTCGAGAATGTCATAAATGGATATAAAAATCTGGAGTTTTTACAATAATAATTGTAATTAAGCAAAAAAATGATTTGGAGAAGTATGTCTGCAAAAGGTCTGAGGCAACTTGAATTTATAAACGAAACAGTAAATACCGTCAAATATTTAGACATTTTGCCAATAAAATGTTAATTTACATCAAGTGAAAAATTACATCCTGAAGGTGACTTTATTTTTCAACAAGAAAAAAAGGTTTGTCCTGGCCAGCAAATAGGCCTGATTAATATTATTGAATCTGCTTGGCACGGAATAAAAAAGTATCTTAGAAATCACCCTCAGAGGACACTGAATGATTTAAAAAATAAAATAGAAAATATTTGGGTCTCTTTATCGCCAGAATTGTGTGAAAACTATGCCAGCGAGAATTCGGGTTGCGATTAAGGCGAAAGGTAACGTCACAAGTTAATGATTTTTTTTTGTTTTTGTCCAAACATTTAGTTGTCATATGTTTTTGTTGTAGGTGGTTTCCTTTGCTTTAAAATAGTTTATATTTAGAATTTCAGTGACACAATACATATTATTTTCCTTCAATATATTACTTGACTTTTTTTAACTACAATTTTATTAGCTTAAGGTGCAATTTGTTTACAGAAAGAGATTCGTCCAAATATTTAGTTGTTAGGCTCATAGTTGAACTTAATTAAAACTTGGCAAAAACCAATATCAGTTGTCACACCTTTTAGTTTTTATTGATTTTGATAAAACTTATTGCCTTTTGTTTTTAATCGTTAACATCAAAAAACACTTAACATAAGTTCTAAACATAAAAAAGACTAATAAAAAACAATTACCTTTTATAAAATATGACAAAAAAAAATTGTGTAATTATAATTAATAATTGTAATCGATAACTGACGTTATAACTCCAAAACCAAAAACATTATAAACTTTATGTCGAAGGGTAGCATCCACAAAAATAAAATATTAAAAAATATATTATTTCTTTTCGAATACTTAAGACAAAATAAAAAAAATAGAAATTGGCAAAAGTAAAAATTTATGATTGCAAATTACACAATATGGTCACTTCGAGTTAGCACCCTGTATATACCTAACAAAAGCGGATAAAAACTACAGCAATGTGCTAAGTTTTGTTTTTATATCAGTAATATAAAAATTTATATCAAAGCACGTATTTTTAAAATTTTGCAAATAATTTAAACACTTTTTAACATTAAAAAACGGATTAATACATAGTATTTAGTAAGACAAATAACAATGTTGTTAAAAGTATGTAGTTTGTCATTTGAGAAAAAGAGTTTAGTATGGTCCTGGAATAATGGAACCCCTTAAATATTTCAAATTAACTCAATTCAATTTAATTTCAAACACTACAATAAACAAAAAAATTACATTGTTCTTTCTCACTCTTTATATAATTAGAATAAAATTTAACTTTTTTTGTATTGTGAATATTTATCAAATTAAGAAGTTGATAGACAAGTGGGTTGCATTTGTTGTAATTTGTGTATGAGAATTAGCTACCAAGTTATACAGTGTATCGTTGTTCCAACAGCCGGCGACACTAATGGCTTATGAAATTCAATTACATAATTATTGACATAGAAAGAGGCCAAGATTGGCACTTTAGTCTGTCGGTCGCTTCATTACATTGCTCCTGACTAATTAACTATATTCTGTCCTAGAATCTCGACTCGTGCTATACTTCGTCAAGATTTATTTTGTATAGTGTTATAAAAGATTTAATGTCTCTAAGAAAAAAATAATTTTTGATCTGCATATAAAAATGTCATAACCTCATAACTAAAATTAAAGTACCAATTTAATGCATGTACTAATTACCTGAAAATTTAATTATAAAAATCTATAAATCTTGATCCCCTCTAAAGCGATTACAACGCAGTTACTCACGTACCTTTTTCGTCTTTGATCCTGGCAATCGCTTTAGCTTTGTAATCGAATTATTTTGATATTCTTGGTTAAGAATAAAAATCTGCTTTTACCCAGAATATCATACGATATTCAATATAGCCAAGTGACATTTAACATTTGTCATTAAATTTAACAAAAAACATAATCTTTTAGTTAGCACAGTGTATAATAAAAACAAATAATTGTAAAATTAATAACAAATGAACAATAAAAATGCTAGAACAAGTGAAAATATTGTTACAGTATTTAAATACATTATACAGACGTACAAAACGTGGGTCAACAACTCAATTAAAGGTGGGATACAGTGTTACAGCGTTAACTACAACCAGTAAATTCAATTTGCTTTCAGTTTTTTCAAATCACAAAATTAATTCTGTTTTAAATGCGGATAAAGCACATTTTTAAATGATGTTTTTTGTCAGCCCTATAACTCGGTTACAACAAAAAAAGTCCTACAACAAAAATGCAAAGGACCATTTTTGTAGGAAATTTTGTAGGCTTTAATTTTGATAAGCAGGCAAAAACCGTTAGGAGTAATATTTTCCGAGATAGAAGCAAAAAAACAGCCCCCTCCATCTTCTCGAGCTCGCCCACCACCTTCTGGGACTTTTGATATATGTCTACCCAAGAATAAATAAAGCGTTTAAAAAAAAATCCAACTTTCTAGGATTTTTTTCCACCGATCGCCCTATTTTTGTCTAATTTGACTGGGCTATAAATGAATTTACTAGTGATGCCAACGTTAAGACTGTTTGGCATTTCCATTTAAAAAAAAACAGACTTTACTATGTCATTCTGACATTTCTGGCAAATCTGTCCAACTTACTTGAATAACGTATTTAATTTAGGAGTTAATGATGCGGTAAAAAAATCAGAAATACCCTTCTTGTATAAACACTGTATAAACGTCAAAATAATTCAAAAATTATATTTATTAAAATTATTGGTAAAAAACGTAAAATATTGATGTGGCAATATGTTGTTTAAAGACATTGCTAAGAATCAATAGTCAAAATTATTTTTTCTTAAAATACTAGGTACTAGCTGCAAAAAATATAATATACCTGGTGAATAAAAAGTATAAAAACCACTTTCCAAAAAAAATAATTAGTGTATACATTTTTCGAAATTTCTTTTAGTTTTCGGGTTTTAGAAAAAAAAAAAATTAAATGGCAACCCACCATGATAATTGTTTTAATTAAAGATTATGATCTAAAAATTCCCTTTAATTAAATAAAATTGTTTTTTAGCCAGCACTTTTTTTTAAATTAATTGTTAAAGTTGCGTTCCGAGCTCATCACGAAGATTTTCCGAACTTAACCGAAGTGGTTGTTTCATGCTTTTCATCATGGGAGAGCGCTGATTTCTATGCGGGTGCTTTGGGGTGGTTTCGAATGGACTAAAAATAGAAGAAAATGATTTGTTTTTACATTTTTTGATCCATCCGGAACCACCCCAAAGCACCTGCACCAAAAACCGGGCTCTCCAACGACCAAAGTCATGAAACGACTCCCTCGTTCAAGTTCGGAAAATCTTCGTGATGGGCTCGGAACGCAACTTAAACTATTTATTAAAAAAAAAGTACTGACTAGAAAACAATTCTGTTTAATTAGAGGTCATTTTTAGATCATAATCTTTAATTAAAAAATTTTTTTGCTATTTAAAAAAAAAAATTTTTCCAGAACTCGAAAACTAAAAAAAAATTCAAAAAATGTTATTCTTGATAAATGTTCACATTTTAATTGGACTTTACGCTACACTAATTATTTTTTTTGTAAAGTGGTTAGTTTACGAGAAAAACGCTTCGTTCCATACTTTTTATTCACCTGGTATATTTATAAATGCAAAAACAATTATTTATCAACGGGGTGTTTCAAAGCCCCTGTGACAAACGTCAAGTAAGATTAGATTCCAGGAACATGGAAAAAGTGTTTAAAATTTTGAAATTTATTTTTTGACAATTGGCATTTTTATGTCTAGGTATTTAATGTTACCGATAATCTTGTACATGTTTTTTCATAATTATTTAGTGGAGGTACAACAAATTTTGCAAATAAAAGCCGCAAATAACGTTAAATATAGTTACAATATAGCCTGCAGCAAAAAAAAACTTGTTCCAACAAAAATAAATATGTCAAAGTGCAAAATTTAAATCCGCATAATTTCGAAATTATTAAGATAGAATTTTTTAAACATTTTTTCCATGTTCCCATGTTATCTTACTTGGCATTTTTCTCTAAGACGTGAGTTCTAAAACACCTTGTATGAAAAATTGATTATCTAGAGTAAAAACTTGAGAAAATAATGTAAATTAGACAAAATACAATTTTGCCTTAAGATTTTTCTAATAATCTTCATATGCTTCTCAAAATCGTACCACTGAGTTGGTGCGCCATATTTTGAGCACCAAATATCCGTTTGTTAACACTTCAAGAACGCTTGAAGTTTTATAATAATATAATTTCCTGCTTCAACTTACCACCGCCATTTTTGTAGCACAAATACGGAAATCTCCAAACATTAGCCAAGTCGACAGCAAAACCGATGACCGAAAGCAGGAAGTCGACCTTCTTGCCCCAGGTCTCGCGGTTATCCGTCACAGAAGCCTCGGCGGTCTGCGAACTTCTTAAAATCTCCTTAGATAACATCCTTGCTTGGAGGTTCCAGGCGATTTAGTGTGCCGAGAACACTAAACAAAAATTACAGTCAAGGATTCCACACAATTAGACAAAAAATAATTAAAAAAAAATCTAACAGTAACTTTGCAGTTTTAATAAAATTTGACAAAATATTGTAAACTGAGTCCAAAATTTTTGTTATTATGTATTCAATATTTATGTGAATGAGAGTAATATAAAGCTAGAGAAGAAAGGCTTACAAGCAAATCAAAAATGGCAATTTATAAACTAAAACCAGAGAACAAACTATAGTCTCATTAGCATTTTCATAAAATTACCTTTTTAATGATTAATCATTTTATTTCATTTTTTTAATATTAAAATGGGCTTGTAGAACAATAAAAATTATTTTCAAGCTAATTACGAGTTTTTGCAAGAATATTTCAGTAATACAGTATTGCGTCATTTCGTAATACAGTAATTAAAACACCAAAAAATAATCACATCTACTTGATAAAAAAACTTTACAACATATTGTACATTTATCACAAAGGCCATCATTAATCTGTTAAGTTTAACTAAACAAAATATCTTGAGGACTTTTCTTTTCTATCTCAAAAACTTTTGCTTTACACAATGAGAATCCAAATTAAAACAAAAACATTCAGAAGGTTCACGGGATATACAGAGTGATTCACAAGAAATAATTAGCCTAACTAAATTCTCGATGCAACTAACATTACATTTTCATAGGTCAGGTAGAATATGAAAACATAACGAGCATAGTTAAAATTTGTCAGTTTTCACATTAAAAATAATGAGAAACAAAAGTAATACAATAATACTTAGTATACAGGATGTTCCGTCTAAACCTCACAAGTATTGGGAGTTCGAATAATCGTATTTATTTGAAAATTGGTACATAGCCATAATCCATTAAGTCCTCCTAAATGAAAATATTTTCTAAATGGCGGCACTTCTGTTTATACCGGAAGTTGGTCTCAACTTTCTTATTTTTAATGAAAAGCTTTATTTTTTACTGCGTTTTTGAATTAATCGGGTTATTTTTAAGGATTTTTTTATCAGTTTTCCCTATACCTAAATTTAGCCGTTTTGAAATCTTACTTACTTGAGATATTTGGAGTTTTTCAAAAATTTTTGTGCACCTTCCACTTTAAAAATCGATAACTCTGCCATTTTTTAAAATTTTGAATTTGTTTTTCTTTGGC